AAAAATATTTTCGACAGACATCAACAGCTTGGAAAAATGCGTACAATTAAAATATCAAATCAGTTGAAACTTTAAAAACTGCCAGAAAACAAAGTTCAATGTTGATTAGACAAAAACAATACAAAAAATATAACATGCAATTTATTGAGTACACCAAACTAGATTTCCCTGTAATTCGGTTAACAACTATGGATATTAGTGCAATCAACTATGAGACATATCTTTGTATTTCTGTATTAACTCTTTTTTGACATATACTATCGTATATACGATTTATGGGACAGTTTGTTTCGAATAAAATTAAGTGAGGTTTTAACCTATGATTCACTCGTCGAAAATTGTGTGCTTCAACCACTGAGCCATTGTCCCATTTGTGATAATACTCGGAACTCCGACTTTCTTTAGAACCATAGCCCCAATATCGCATTACATCTTTGGTTCTCTCTTTTTCTGTACCTAATCTTTTCTATATGACATGATATCAATTCATCGACCGTGACTGTTAGTCGATTAAAGGAATAAAAGCAACGAGAGGAAATTGAAAAAATGAGTTTTATATATATATATATATATATATATATATATATATACCAAGGAATAAAACCAACGTCACTGTGAATCTAAACGTATGTAGTACAACTTGCAGATAAATATAACTGAGATTATAAAATGGGCAAAAGTATACTTTGCGTTTGAGTTTAAAACAACCGCGACAAATTTCCAGCCAGTCAGAAAACAGCTTTTATAAAGGAATGGTTTGTGAAAAAGAAAACAATAATATTGAAAAGTATAAACAGATTTTTCAGTTGACAAAGCCATTAGTATCTTTTACAGGCTGCTCTGTCTATAAATCGAAAGAACAACGAAATCTTCATTCTTCCTAATTGATATAGACTGTCAGTATTCTGTGACCCTTAGAGGAACCTAAAGAGATTTCTAAGAGGATCTATATTGTTATTAGTTAGGGTTAGATATTTAGGGTAAGGCTTAGGTGTTTAGTATTAATGACTTATTCACGAACTGATATCAGGTATAATGTTAAGGTGCACTATAACTGTATGGATGAATGAATTTAGCTCAAAAACACACGAAGCGCTATCTTACTGGTTAATCCCCAAAACATAGTGCCATAAGATTAATATTTGTTTCAGGATTCAGGGTTTAGAGTGAGGATTCTAAAGATATAGAACTATACATTTATTTAACTGAACACTATCATTTTTAACCCATGGTTATAAAAAATAATTCTTCACAATCCTATTGAATGTTTTGAATAGTGAAAAATGGTACGTGGTATTTGAATCTCAAGCAAAAAACTTAGAAGTTGCATTTTCGATTCCAATTGGCTTGTCTCTAAGTCATACTTTTACAATAGAATGAAACATAGAGAATGTCACTCAATTCAATAATGAATTTTAAAAAGAAGAGTTAAAAGATTAAGATTGAACAAATATCAAATGCAACCTTATAATTAACGGTTGTGCAACTGATTTTCATTGTTGGGACCCTTTGATAATTCCTTGGAAAGGTTTACAGAAGCTATGAAAGGTGATGAAAACACTTTAATCAATTTGTGCTCATTAGGAACTTATAGAGAAAAAACTTAGAAAGTGACTGAATGCACTTTCTTAATAATGATCGGACAAATACTGAATTTGTTACCAATTTATGTATAATTCCGTATAAATATTATCGTCATTTCGTACATAAACAAATTTTGGAAGTAACGCTTTTCCTATGCTTCCCACCTTTTGCTTTTTGTTCAGGGTCCAAGAGTGAAAGAACTCTGGGATCCAGGATAAAAATAAGATGTGTTTTTGAATAAGCTCGTTACAAGTTCACAAGATAAGTAATTTCGAGATAAACAGTTAGTACTTTGACCAAGTACACTGATAGACACACATACATATATGCACACACAATAATGGATGCATTAAAATAAGGCTCGGACAGAAGTTGTACAGATGTATAACTAGTAAACTGAGACATGAAAAAAATACGTCTCAAATGACAAGTTAGTTAATTACCTAGTCGTGAGTAATTTACTTCATATTTTTCATTATTATTATTATTATTATTATTATTATTATTATTATTATTATTATTATTATTATTATTATTGTCATCGTCTGGGTCTGCTGCGTCGTAGTTACATAGACAGTTTACTGATTAGATTACACCTACCGATGAATCATTGACCATACAAAAGAAAAAGTAGCGAGAAAAAAACATTCAAGCGATAACGAGGTAAAAAGTAGTAAAAATTACACCTTCCCACGAAAAGCAAATAAGAAAAATGCACATACACAAGACCATTAATCAGTCAACTGAGATGCTAACTATACTATTGTTACTAATATAAGCAGTTTTTACTTAAGTTAAATACTGAAAATCCAAAATAAATAGAAAGGATAGGACATTAGATTATTTGGAATAGATATGATTAACAGTTATATCTGTATGTAGTCTATTCACCAATAAATACACAAACTGAATTTCTAAGTATGTTATTTACTACTGGAACTAAAAAAAGACCAGTCGTATTGTACACTTCAGTTACTAATATATAGTGAAAGTTGTAATCTCCCCATGAGCAAATACACAAAAATACATCGGAATGTTTATTAGGTGTTTTATCATGAGTTTCTGACTCTTACCAATTTTACAGCCGGGATAGATTAGACTTTCTATTCAACGGTGCAATTTCCTATTTTTATGTTTTCGAAAAATATAACAGTTATGGAGAGATGATATAAAATGCAAAGCAATGAAGCAATTGAACAGCTTAACTTCTGAGAACTTTTAAGGAAATGAGAAAAAAGCATCTTTACAGAAATAGGAATTGTTTTGAACGAGGACAGGATTATTATAACCTTAAACTGCGAACGGTATGGAATTTTTATAACTTGAATTTGTATATTATTAGTCAAATTGGTTGTATGAAGATTTTGTTATTTTTTGAAGTAATTTTCACCACAAAATGAGATCGATCAGCTGAATACACTTAAAACTACTGGTTACCTGCCTATACCAATCTGAGTCATCTTTAATGCCTTCATGATGTTATTCTGACTGTAAAATGTGAGATCTTGAAACGGGCCAGTGAGATTGCAATGGACCAAGAGTTTAGTAGGGTAAATCAGTTTACTGTATTAAGAAAAATCACACGCTGGATTTTTAAAATATGAAGAAGATACATTAAATACATCGTTTTCACATCTTCATTGCATTGTTTCTTACAAGCTTCATTGTTCTTTCATTTCTGTTGCTATTCGGATTGATTCTGTCTTTATTTCTCTTCTCCTCATGTTCATCTTCTGTCAGTAAGAATCCTACTTCAAATTCTTGACACATTCTACTTATATCGATCCGTATAAGTATGATTCACTACAAAAGCAGTTTTGCTCTCAGCCTGTGAAACCTGACCACTCCAAGTTGTGGATGTTAAGCTCCTGTGTTTGATTATCAATGTCTCTGAAGAATAAATGATATTCAGTGACATTATCTTAGCAGTGCGGAGGTTAGGCAACGTGTGTTGGGGAACAGTGATGACAGTTCATTTGGTGTCACCACCTTGAAACACTGACTTCAGTGGCTTGGACATGCACCACGAATTTTGTTTCAGAGAATTTCACATCGTGCATTATTTGCCGATACTGGGACTGTTTGGAATAAGTGGAGAGGTGGTCAGTGTATGGCATGGTGTCGTAGTATGAAAAAATACAGTATAGGACTGGCATCTGTCGGGCCTTCACGACTCCCTGGTTAGGGTCCTAGAGTTAGTGTAACACCTTGGCTTGAGACATTATCGGACATGACTCGGAATAGGAGCCAGTAGTGGTCGTGATGTAACTTTTGTTTACTTTCTGCTTTTAAATGAGAGCAACTTCTTTAACCGAAAGAATTCTTTCTAGTCGTATTTTTTTCTTAATTGAACTGCTTCTTCCATCATCAATATTATTAATATTTTACTCTAACACACTAATTCCTCTTCATTTTTGTTGTTTCTTTAATTATACCCACCTTTCTCTTGCTATCTATTTACAGTCGCATCTTTATTGTGTGGCGGATGAACACTTTGGTGTCCCTTTGTACCACTGCTTATGTGTTTGAATAAAAAAACAAACAAAATATTGGATAAAATTGTAACAAGCTTGATTATTTTACACAGTATTTTCTACAGAATAGTAAAGGTAGAGACGACAGTGTTTAGGTGATGTAGTTTTAGTTTCAGACAAATGCGTATCTTTTATGCTGGATTACAGAAATTCACCAAAAAAAAAGTGTGATCAGGAAGTAAACTATGAGTGTATTAAATAATACTAGGTTGGTAGAAAAAAAAGTTACATGTTTGAGTATAAAAAATATACATGATCTGTTTATGTAATGTGTAAATAAAGATCATATGATTTACCTATGATTAAAAGTATTTCAGATTATTTAATCAACCAGTCAATCAATATTAGTAACATATCTTTATACATAATGGATACAGGATGTATATTTTGCATAAATTAGGATTCATTGAGTAAGGATGTATTTGTATCGCAATCTTGATGTTTACACTGTGACTCGATAAAATTCAATTTGCAGGAAAATATAAACCCCTTTTAAGTAATAATAATAATAATAATAGATACTATATAATATGAGATCCATTATTATCTAGACTCTAATTCGGTTAGTAAATGAGTTGGTGTTTGTAAGGATGGATAGGTATCGGGGTTCAAGATTTCAGTGTGAATGTCAACTTTGGGTTACAGTTTCATTCAGCTGACAAATCCCGAATAAGATGCACTTGGAGGATTCGATTGTTAAAATACTGGAGGTTTTGTAGTCTTTGAGTTGAATGGTTTAGTTGTGAGGCTTTCTTTGTCCTAGCGATGCTATTTTCAGACGAACGACAATGAAAGGTTCAAAATTAAGCCATCTATCTAGCTTAGAGAACATATAACACCCAATGAAACGATAGAAATACTTTAAAATACAAAAAAACTTACTGGTACACGTATTCCAGATGGACTATTTGATTCTGGTTGAATTTGAGTCTTCATTGAATCTACACATTGTTTAAATTGATTGACAAACTTAAAGAATAAAGAGTAGAAAAGAAAAAAACAACAGAATAACAGTAAAACAAAACCTGAGTAAGATAGACTGTGTGTCATCGTATTTTGTAAAAATAGATCTTTTAGTCAGGTAAAAAGGGACTTGGAAATTAATCTGTGACAAATAACATTTTGGAAAAGACATATATATATATATATATATATATATATATATATATATATATCAGAATCTTTAATGCAAACGTCAAAGCAGTTCTATTGTAAAGAGCTGAAACTTGGAGAACTACCACAGCCGTCATCAGAGAAGTACAAGTGTTCACAAACAAATGTCTACACAAGATACTCAATGTCCGTTGGTCGAATATCATCAGCAACATTCTACTGTGGAAGAGAACAATTCAACTTCCAAATGAAGTGGAAATTAGGAAAAGACGTTGGAAGTGGTTAGGACATACATTGCAGAAATCATCACGAGGCAAGCTCTAACTTGGTGTACTGAATGGAAAATGAATAGAGGTAGACCAAGGAGCACATTGCATTTGGAACTGGAAAGGATCACCCAGAACAGAGTTCAACTGAAAATTCTGATGAGCTGCATATGCTCTTCCACGAGGGGTAACAGTTGTAAGTAAGTCTTGATAATAACGATTAGGTGTATCTGGAATTCCCGATTAGACTACGCTATTTGTGAATTATTGAACGATTGAGTTATTCTAACGTGAACAGTTTTATTGTGGGCTCAATAAAGTCAGATGGAATAAAACACAGGAAGAAGACGAAGTGTAGTTCAAAATGCTCTACTTATTTACTATAATATGAACTATAAACATCAAATTTTCCCTACTAAAATCTTTAAAAGAAATAGGATAGACTAGATATTTCCGTAAGAAAAATAAACAATTCCAAGATTTTAAAAAAAACATGATTTATTCAACTCAAGTGCAAGTTTACTTACTGAACTTTGAACTACAATGTCTGTGTATGAGGGCTAGTATTACTAAACTGATATGATGAGTAAGCTTAACCGTTAAATCGTTAATAACATTTAATCATATTATTTTATTTAATTGAAAAAGCCCTATTTCTAGTGAGCAACTATCTTGTCTTATAATATTAGTTAATTTAGATGATTAAGTAAATAAATCAGTCGCGTTAACAACTCACTGCTCATCACATATTGTATCATAACATATCATCATTTTTTCATAGTTGATATCATGAGTCAATTGAAGCTAGACCACCATGGAAAACCTGGAAGCACTGGACGGCCGTTTCGTCCTATTATGGGACTCCTCAGCAGTGCGCATCCACGATCCCGCCTCACGAGATTCAAACCCAGGTCCTAACTAACATGCGCACTGCTGAGTCCCATAATAGAACGAAACGGCCGTCAGTGCTTCCGGGTTTTCCATGGTGGTCTAGCTTCAATTGACTCATGATTTCAACTATGAAAATACTGAAATCTCCACAAAACCTCTTCTGATCTATATCATCATTTGTTGATCAATACTCTTTGCTTACATTTTAACAATTAAACATTACTTCATCAAATCAAATAATCCTACTTCAATGAAGTGAAATATGAACTTGTGGACAGATTGGTTGAAATTTAAATACATTCAACTTGATGACTACAAGTCATTACTTTATAAAACCTACTTGTCGATAATGTTAAGGATTGGTTATGTAATATTTTAGAAACTGACTAGGGTTGAAAAGTTTTAACTACTAGAATTTTAAAATTACTGACTCAATGATGATTAGGTGTTTAACAAACAAGTCTCGAATATATCAGAAAAGTTAATATCAGCAGAAGTCGAAAGGATCATCTCCTAATACTAACGATAATTTTTTTAAAACATGAAAAAGTAAGCAATTTGATTATATTGACTTATCAGATACTAATACTAATAATAAATAAGAAAAAAACTTTATATTAATCCTCAAATCATGATACAAAATAACAACTTCCAGTTTATATACATACTTGGTACCTGCTTCGGTTTGGGCACCCGGGAAGTATCACAGCCCACACACAAATAAATGAAATGATGAATTGTATTGACGATACTATTACTGCTCATATCAGAAGCAAGACAATTTACACTATTATTATTATTACCATTATTATTATTATTATTTACTACGTCGCTTTTTCACTCCCTTTATTCTCAAATTGTGTATCCTTCCTTTCCAACTTACGCAGTAGCTCGCCCATGGTGGAAACTCTGTCCTATCTAAACGATCTTCAGTCACTGTCTAGTTGAAAGTGAATGCTTCCACCGATTACGAATACTGAAGCAGTCTTTCTGAAACCACGTACGCCATTCAAGCTGGATTCCTTCAACGTTCGCACACTAATGCAGATCGGACAACAGATGGGGCTGGCTATGTCTTTAGAAAGTCTTAATGTTGATGTTTGTTGTCTATCCGAGACCCGTATTCAAGACTCTAGTGAAGTACTAGAAATTCGCTCTCCATCTGTCGCTTCGAAAAGCTTGTTTCACGTGCGCTTATCCGGGGACCCTGTGGCATCTTCGTCTGGTCTTGCTGGCGTTGGTGTTGCACTAAGCGCTAGGGCTGAGGCAGCACTAATCGACTGGATCACCATTAACAGTCGGTTATGTGCTGTTAGATTAGAAAGTTCCATCAAAGTGAGAAGAAACCGGCGTGAGAAGCGGTGTCTTTTCGTCATCTTCGCCTATGCCCCGACAAATTGCAGCCCGGATGCAATCAAGGATGAGTTTTACCACCAGTTAACAGTTCTTCTCCAGAAAGCGCGTTCGACAGATATTGTAGTATTAGCTGGAGACTTGAATGCTCAGGTCGGGCGTCTAGGCACAGAAGAGAGTCGTTTAGGTGGCCGATGGGGACTTGTTGGTCGCAGGACAGATAACGGGGACCGTTTGCTGCAACTGTGCACAAACCACAACCTGTTTCTCGCTAGCACTAACTTCCGGCACAGTCATCGCCGGTGTGCCACCTGGCGTCCTCCCTCTGCATCTCAAGCCTGGACTCAGATTGATCACATCGCGATCAGCTACCGCTGGCGTGGTTGAGTACAAGAAATCTGGTGTGAGTGAAACAATCTACGAGGATGACGGGGTGCCAATCACTAACATCTCTCGACGTCTTGGACGATGTCGGAATTTTCCGAAGGGCAGTTCAACTGGCCTGCTGCTCCGGCAACATCAACCAGTTTGTCCTGCCCCCCATGGCCGGTGACGACTGATCCACCAAACGAGGCGGAAGTCCGCAAGGAACTCCAACTCTTGAAACGTTACAAATCACCGGGCCCAGATGACTTACCTCCGGCTCTTTTTAAAGATGGTGGTGACTTTCTGGCTAAGGAACTGACGGTGTTGTTTGCAAAGGTTTGGGAGCAAGAAAGTGTTCCAACATCATGGAATGAGTCAATAGTCGTCCCTATCTTTAAAAAGGTTTTACGTTGTTCCTGTAACAACTATCGAGGGATAAGTCTACTTCCGATTGCGTCCAAACTATTGGCTTCTGTCATTCTTCGTAGGTTGTTTAAAACCCGAGAAAGATTGACTCGTGAGGAGCAGGCTAGTTTTCGTTCTGGTCGAGGATGCATTGATCACATCTTCACCCTCCGCCAAATGTTAGAACACCGTCATACTTATCGCAGGCCAACAATCGTAGTGTTTCTTGATATCAGGGCTGCCTTCGATTCGTTGGACAGGACTGTTCTCTGGGATTGTCTATTGAAGAAGGGTGTGCCTGAGAAGTTCATTAACATCTTAAAGGCCCTGTATACGAACACCTCAGGCAGAGTGAGGGCATACAACCACCTTTCTCCCTTGTTCCATTCGAGCAGTGGGGTTAGGCAGGGTTGCCCGACCTCACCATTCCTCTTCAACTTTGCCATCGATGACATCCTGGAAACAGCTCTGATGGATGTAAGTAATGGCGGTGTGGATCTGTTGCCTGGAGAAATACTTCTCGACCCTGAGTATGAGGATGATATTGTCTTACTGTGCGATAATGCCCGAGGCATGCAATCCGCACTTAATCAGTTGGCAATCAGTGTCCGCAGGTACGGCATGTGCTTTGCACCCTCCAAGTGCAAAGTACTCCTACAACACTGGCAGGATTCCCATCCTGTACTCACCCTGGATGGTGAGCAGATTGAAGTAGTTGAGAAGTTCGTGTGTCTAGGTAGCTATATAAGTGCTGGTGGTGGCGTGAGTGATGAGATTGATGCACGTATAATGAAAGCCAGAGCGGCTTATGCCAATCTGGGCCATCTTTGGCGCTCGATCCTGCTGCAACCTTCTTTTACTTTCTACATAAAGAGTGATTCTAACTTTCTTAACTGAAAGATTCTTCTGGTTGTACATTTCAGTCCGCCTTATCTTTTCATCCCTTCTCTTCCTACTTTCATTATTTTGTGTGGCGCATATGTATCTGGTGCCCTTTTGTACCAATATATATGTGTTTAAATAAATAAATAAAAATAAATACATACTTGGTAAGCAATTGGTCAACGTTATATGATTATATAACTCCGTCTGTAGCTTTTTACAGTTACTGCCAGTGACAAGCCCGCATAAAGGAGAAGGGTTGGGCATACGGTCAACAACCCCATCCTGTAAAAAACAATCTTGCTAAAAAAACACTAACCACAAAAATATCACTATATGAAACCAACTGGGTGTGCATTTACATTGGTTTGGGTTTACGAATACACACTGAGGTTTGAACATACACAGATGAAGCAATACCCGCTACAAGATATCTATGTTTTTAAGAAATATTCTATATGGAATAGTTAGAGTAGTTAGTTTTAATCTAAATTTATTATTAAAACAGGTTTAACTAAGCAAAAAAAAGATTAAACTACAAAGTGAAAACATTCAATGGCTAAATAACTATTTAATATGTGATTACTAGTTCACAGATTCAAAAAATGTTGTTTCATCTACTCTGATTTGAACATCTTGATAGTATCGGTGTTCTACACCTGGAAAATGTGACCTGGAGCTCAAAAATATAAATCTGTACTTGATAAATGAGTTAGAGAAAAATAAGGATTTAAATAACCTTGTTTATTCGTTTAAAATTGAGTTTAATTACTGGTTAAACAAATCGGTTACGCACCACTTAGTAAGTGTAAGCAAATCTAGGGGAAAAATAGATAAAGAAACTGATGCAAGGAAAAACCATGTTGTTGATCAACGGATTTAATCCTCTTAATAGTTATAGATATTTACAAGAAAGCAGTCTCAAATTAAAATCTAAAAGGAAATAAAGAATAAAATCATTTGCTTATTAGTGACTAATTTCAAGGGATGATTCCCGTAGTTCTAATGAGAAGCCGTGACTAAAGGAATACAGTCATCTACAGTATGAGGCAGTTATGGACCGATGGCATTGGAAGATGGTTGCGCAGTAGTGTGAATGGACTGAAGTTAGAGATGTAAACGATTAGATCATGACTCATTAGTCCATCGATTAAGAGCTCACCATGAGATATGAAGATAATGGTTTCCACCCCGGGGAGATTTCATGAATGAAAAGTGGGAAGAAACAGTTGTTCAGTGCTTCCCAGTTTTTAGTGGTTGTTTAATTAAGATGAACCCGCTATGTAAATCATAAAACAACAGACCTAACAGTCACTGATGTTTAAATGCTTATGTTTTTCTGTAAGATGGATTGTTAGTCAACTCGATGAAGAAAGTAGTCATTGGCATTGGTTATTTTGCTTTCGCCAGAGACATTGATTCTAGTTTAGTTATCAGTTGTTCGTCCGTGAGAAATAATAAATAATATACAATTTTATCTTGACTATTATTGTATAAAATATAACTTTTAACAACTAGCGTATTCATCTTTCTAATACTGGTTGAAAGCAGTCGAACCGAAACTTGGCAACACTACATGAAATTACTGAGCATTAGGTTGGGTTGTGATGATACTGATAGGCTAGATGACTATAAACATCATGAGCCTTAGCTCATATGCCATCTGATGCTCAAATGGTAGGTGAGAAATTATAAACAACGCATTCTATCAAAGGAATTAGACTATACACTTACTCAGGATTCCAGCCTAAATGTACTTTTCTGGGTCAAAAGGAAGTTGTACATATACCTACGATTTATGCACACTATAATTCGGTTTCCCAATAAACCTACTAATTTTAGTTTCCTCACCCTATTTAGTGTATTTGGTATAGTGTAGAAAGTGTATATCGTAGATGAATCGAACAGCAGAAATCAACAGAGACTGTCACATAATATAATAATTTATGATGTGTGAACAAGAAATCCAATAGTTCGAAATTAGTCAGAATGGAGAAAATATATTTATTCTTTATTTATCCTTACATTGTAAATTTTAATTCCAATACTATTTATTGCACTTGTCCTTCTCGAAACATTATTAACCCTCGATGTTTTTAACATCATTAATATTAACAATAATTAGACTTTTAGTTTTATATCGCCATCCCAGTATCTACATGCTTATGATTGATCGACTGCTGTTGAATGTTACTCACTAACATGATAGGTAGTTGGAGGTAGCCGACAGGAAACTTTGCAAATAGATCAATAAAAGTACTTCCTATCGACTATATCACACCACCAAACATTTTAACATGGTGCACGGACTGCCGAGTCACTTAGACTAGTGGTCATACTGGGACGTGATCGATAGATTCCGATCAGTATTAAGGGCATTGATCACTACTACTCAGTGACCAATCACTTTTAAATGTTACTAACATATTTCTCTAACCGAAACCAGATGTAAGGTTTAGAAATACAACCCAGTCAGAGAATGTGGCAGTCATAGGGAGGTTTTAATCAATTACGTAATGGTTGGTATGATTGAGCATTCATATTAAACAGCTACAAGTTTACATCAATATTTTTTTATTTTCTCCAGGTGCTACGCTGCTTATGACTGACTAACTTTCCTTTATAAACAGTCCAGTATTGTGCATATATGCCATTTTTTCTAAAAGAAAAAAATGAATTGCCGGGGAAAAATACAAGTTACCAGGGCCAGTGGACTACATTTTGGAATAAACATGATGACCGATTTGAAAAGCACGAAATTATGAGACAAAATAAAACTAATGTCAAACTACCGACAACAGTGGGAAAAATTCAATAAATAATTTATAATGAAATATCATTCATATTGTTAATAGTATTTTGCACACTGGTTGGAATAGAAAAAAGAAACAGCTTACGATGAGTAATGATTTTCAAGATATAAATGCGTTCGAATGTAGATGACGCCAAAAAGTATGGTATTTAGATATGAACTAATATATATATATATATATATATATATATATATATATATATGCATAGGGACATAGATGTGGATTCCTTAATTATATTAAGACTGAGAATCTATATAAATTGTTTAGACAGCGTCAACCTGGATTATTGCCAACCGGGAAAAAAAGAATCAAATGATCGAATTGATCATTGGGGTATTGGTCACGCCAAATAAAAATGCAATTGATAATATGAAATCATGCATATACAAATGAAAAATATTTATGAAGAAATCCGGAACAAAATCCCGAGTGGACAGATAATATTTATGTATCCCATTTTTTGCATGATATTTAAACAAGACTATGGAGATAGTAAAAAAAGAGTATCAAAGATAAATAAAGTGAACCAAAGGTAAAGGGAAAGTTATTGTTTGATAAGACTAAGAACTAATTGTGATTTATGCGCGTCAAAACCATGCCAGCTACTACCCGTTTTTTGATGAAGGATGCTCTTCTGTAACTTGATTTATGTAGACGTCGGAGAACAGGGTAGCTGGATCAATGGGGATAATGGAATTTTAATCAGCGTCCTTAATAGTGACTGAAATCTATCGACCAAGTCTCTGGTGTGCTCACCAGGTTACGAAACTTGATATTACAAAGGACTTTGTTTGATGTCATGAGGTTTGTGGTGGCAACTAAGTAAGAAACTCTGGATTAAGGTTTTATACCGATGTGAGCTGATTATCAACAATATACATCTGAAATTAAAAAGAATCGAAGATACTGATACTCCACAAATAACCTAATACGCCATGGTAAGCAACATTGCCACTGAACTAGTACAGCTGCCACTAATCGGAACTCCTTGTCGATTACCTTCAAATGAGTAACCGCATCTAAGTACTATTATGCGATGTTGAATGATCTCTTAGTGCAATAAAGCATATTACAAACATAACCGATATGCTTCGATTAGTGTTAAATGCTAAACAATTTTACACTGTTTTAGACTTGATAATTAGATTAATTTTATATTTCACTGTTTTAAACAGTTCTAACCACTACGACTTACATGAGGAGTTTGTTTTAAGTAAAAGTTAGTAATCCAGTAAAATTATTATCCATCCAAGTGTTGAAGAACTCTATTTCTGCAGGCATATATATATATATATATATATATATATATATATATATATATATATAATGACTAGCTTAAACTCTTCACATTTGTGAGCGTCATATATGTGAAGTTAGACAAATGATCTGCAATCTTTGTGAAAAACAGTCAATGAAATCCATTAACTAAGTGCAATTGTTGCATAAACATTAAGTTGTAAGTCATACTTAATAGTGTGAAAAATAATAGTTTAACCCGAATGTTTAGAATTTATGTGACTACAGTCGGTTATGAAATTGTGGTTTAATAACAAAATCGTAAAAATTTGAAATCACATTGAACTATAGTTATATTCTACATATACCACCCAATTCACTGGACATTAATGATCCAATGACAAGATCGAGATGAGAGTATGTTATGTCCCGGTAACAATAGTGAATGGTAACTTTAGGATCTATTTATGAACCAATATTATGCATATATTTTTATCGTATAATTGCTAAATAAGTAAACTATTCGTATTCATGTTTCCCTTATCATGAGCTTTATTTTGAACTATAAACTATTATTGTACGATTTACCATTCTTGAGTTGCCCCTATTCTATTAATTATTGCCTTCCACATTCACAGCCACATTTGGCTAAATCTTGTACAAATGTTATTTTCTGTTTTGTTGGTACGATGTGGTCAGTCTGTTTGAAATACAAGGATTCATACCGCAGAGGCTGTTATTGGTGTTCTGGACTTAACTGTCTGGGTTAGGCAGAAGCAGGACCGATAAGTATTCTAGACTGCTCGTACGGTTCGTGTGTCACTGTTCCAATCGATAATTCGCTGCTCTCTGATTGGCAGTCTTAACACGTCATACATTAACTGGGCATCCACTCGGCCACAAGTTATAACAGAGTGGTACTTAGTATGAAACGGAGATCAACTCACTAGACTTCTTGTCGGTTGAAAATTCTAGTATGGATCTCAAAAGTTTTCAGGTTTTAAGTAGAAGAGAAAATAATAATAGGATAATTTCCAAGATTTGAAATAATCGCTGATATTTGAATTCACTTAGTATTGTTTGTTTGAGTCTTCCCATTGATGTTTAGGACTGCAACTGGTCAGTCTCTTATTGGTATATGTGCATACTGCGCGTATTGTCTCGATATTGCCTTAATTCACAAGCATTATAAGCAAAGATGGATAGTGGCTAGCAGTGGAATCCAGGAAGCGCTGATATTTCTTAGGATTACGACTCTCAACGATCTATGATTGTTTGGAATAGTTTGGAGAGTAGTTTTCATCTAAAAGCGGGGGCCCGGATTTTTCTTGTGAGGAATCTTAGTCTTTGAGGGTTTACTATAAAAAATTATCGGGGTGAAAAGACCAAAACTAGAGGAATTAAGGTTAAAGAGGGAATTCACAATGCAGACTTTAATGGCACGTAGTAGAGATAAGATGTTTTCCATGGATAATCAACATCCTCAGCTACACTATCATTAAGAAGGTGAAAGATTGGGCGATATAGACCTTAAAAATAGTAAATGAAATTAACAAAATGTATATAACCCAAACCAAAAAATTTGACTTGAATATAAATTGTAACACTTGACAATCATTCCACTCAATCAGAATACGAGCAATTACTGAAAATTTCGGAGTCAAATTTTAATGTGATTTATAGGCTATGTCAATGAAATTAGTTGGGGAAAACCATGTATTTTGTGGTATTAAAAGTAGTATTTGGCAATGAGAAATGTATAGAACTGTAAGTCAACATTTGAGGCACCGGATTTGTAATTATCAGATCATAATTTGTTATTTTATATTATCCAGTTAAATACAACAGACTTCAAAATATTCATACGCTTTACACAACAATAATTACACATGAACCTATTCATGGTTACTCAACTCTTAAAATAATATTTAAACTCTAAATCTCCCAATCACCTGGGAAGTGTCCGAGATCCTCTATCACTTGAAGTCTCTGACTTTTAATATATTTCCTAACAAACTATTAACGACTGTTTTTCTAGATATAATAATGATGATCAACTCGACGTTATATACGGTACAATCTAAAAAGCAGTTGAAAACAGAAAAATATCAACAATTTAAACTAACATTTTACGGATAGTACATTATGCAAAGTCAACAGAAGTGATTTACAAGTATCGGTCATTAATTCAAGTCCTGTTGCTACGCTGGTTCTAGTTCAATGTTTATATATGATTTTATAACATATAGACCAGTTTGTAGTTTAAGGGTACCACATATTTTATAAGTGAACAAAAAGTACCGAGATAATAAGAAATAAATTCCTGTACACTTTTTTAAAACTTACCATGGTTAAGTCTGCTTCTGAGCTGAACCCCAAACCATGGACTCCACCAGTTTTAGAATCAGCCCATTGTCCAAATTTTTGTGAAGTCTTCTTGAATGTCATTTTTTCCGTCAAAGTACTATTAATAATAACCTAAATCGGGAGTATTTAAATGTTAAAAATTGATATATGTTTATCCAACGATTGTTCTGCCACCAAGTCGTATAGACCAGGATACGAAGTTGTTTTAGAAAACTATGGTTAAACCCATGAAACAAACACTTAACCCATAAGATGACTGTTGAAAGCTGTATTTATGCGGTTGTCAGTAATCAGAATAGTTTAGTGCTTTATTCCCTTCTTTAAGATATTAAAACTTATGTGCAATGATTGGAGTAAAGTTTTCAAACTCCTCTTCGACAGATTATTGATCAGATTTAACCGTTTAACATTTTCCACTTTCAAACAAAAAAACATTGACCCATATGAAGACGATGAATAGGACTTTTTGATATGGGTGACATAACATTCTGCTATATGAAAGCACTTTTATGGAAGTAGAGGACCTAACTCACCCTCAATAATGCCAATAATACTACTGATTAAATCACTTTGAAACGACTGTTTGAAGCTTTCTCTATCTGGCACAGATAGCACTAAATAACACTAGTTTCTTAGTAGTACATGTGTTTTAAGTGATTAACGATACTCGAAAAACTAATATGAAATATATACAGGTTCAATTTTAACCATTATTACACAAAGAAAATTTAAACAACGTTTACATTTTTCAGTTTAACCTATAGACAGTCAAAATGTTTTTGATGACTATGTGTAGTGTTATTATTTAGATGCGTAAATGGGAACGATAAACTTCATACTATAGTTCTTTATTTTCATAGATGAGTGGGTTTTTTTCATTAAAAAAGGGCTTAACGGCGACTAATAGTTTACATTAGACAAACTCACATAGATTTACAATGTCATCTACCATCTACTCACTGATTTTGTACCAAAACATGACGATATTTTAAATTAGTGTGCGTAGTGACGTTCTATAGTTTAAGAAGAATGATGATCGAACGTGTACCAAATGAATATACATCATTTTTTGTCTTATATTTACTCCTACCTGTTTTTTGAGAAGCCAAATTCTAGACAGAAATCACACAACAAGATGAAATTAGGCTTTTAAAAAATCTCATTATAGTTTTATTTTTTCGGAAAAATATTTAAATTTTCTTTCCAAATTAGTATTTCTAGTCTATTCAAGTAAATATGGTAAGTTGCTTTACTTGGTCAGTCTGAGTGACTCGCTAAACAGATATAATTTAGTAGAGTGTTATCTAGAACTGGTTTTGACGAATCTCTAGTCTAAGTTAGTGTGTTGGCCTTATCATTTAATTCATGCAAATCAAACCTTGCGCCATGTTCTACTCGTCTAGCAATCATTGAATCTACGGTCACAACTCATCCTGTCCAATTCATTCAGTACAACTTTGTACCACAATTGGTCTTTACTACATACTTCATTCAAACAGTGGCCTAAGATCTATGGTGATTAGATGTACCTGAAAAAAGATTTTATTACTTACTGTGGGTATTGTTATTGATTTTAAAT